TCCACTCAGCCTTTGCTGGTGTGTGTAGTGATGGGACCAGTTTTTTCCGTGTTGTTTGCCTGGAGTAGAGTGTTATTACCTAAGAGTTTTCTGTCTTGCTAGGGCACCCCGTTCCTGGTCCTTTGGCTAATGAAAGTAGGCTTTGTTGGGGTTTTGTAAATTTTTTTGTGTCTATGTCTCTTGCTGTTTCTGGGTTCCTGCTTCTTCAGCTCTACATTTGGGATATATGAGGCAAAAAGAACTACCGTATCACTGGTCCTGAGGTTCCTAGTTGGCCTATATGCTTCTCTCCATTCTTCAGAATCTTCTTATGATTGTTTTAAATATAATATACAGGGGTTTTAAATGTACTTAGTGGGCAAATAGCAAAAAGTATATAGCTGTCTACTCAATCTTCCTAGAACAATTTGATTTTTAGATTGAAAATTTTAGTTTGTAATATATAACTTGATTATTTTATCCAACAATATATGCTAATATTGTTACTAACTAATGATGTTTCTACCCCCAAAATACATAAGATGAACATTTAAAAATTTGAGTTAATCTATACCATTAGGAGCCATAAAGCAATATATGAGAAAACACAGTGGAATTTCTAGGGTTGAAAAGGCCAGGGACTGTGTAACTTAAACCAGAATGGGGCAGGAAAACATACAGGTCTCTTGACTTTTTGTCCAATGCTCTCATTGAAAGTTCTCTTTCTCAAAGAAAACAAAACAAAAAAAAAACCTTTAAAAATAGTTCTTGAAAGTTGTATTCCTTAAACAACTGTTTTTATAACCTGAAGCATACTGACTTACAGTACTAAAATTATATATTCTCAATTTGAAAGCATAACTGCACCTTAATTAAAAAGAAAATAACACTGTCAGCTTGAAGAATCTTAGCATCTGTGGTATGTCAATTTGTGCAGGACAACTGTCAAGCACTAAGATCAGAGCTAACCTCTGGTTTTGTTTTCGTTTTTTTACCTTCTCACTAAACATTTCTCACAGACTGTCCCAAACTCCTATTCTCAAGAATCCATCCTTCAGCCAGTTTCTCAAGCCAGAAATTTTGAACCTTCTGCCCCATCAGTCTTCCTAAAACAGGTTTCAAATTGGCCATTTGCTCCTCAGAAATATACTGATTTAATATCTAAGGATCATATCCAAATTCCTGTACTCTCAGATAGCATTTAAAGTTTCTAATAACCTAACTCTAGTTTTCATTTCCAATATTATTTTTTCTTTTATCCTACCAGGAATCCTCCACATCAGCAAGGTTTGTTTACCTGCTGGTCTCTACAGATGCTACATACACTCTCCTTCTGAGCCTTTTGCTCCCGTGGTACTCTTGTCCTTGCCATCCCCTTCCTCTCTCTAGGTATTATGATTCCATCCATCCTTCAGATTTGGATGATAAAAAAAATTTGCTCTGAGTTCTTAAACACATCTTGGTCACTTCATCAAACTTCTACTTATTAAGGAAGAAACCTGATCTTATAAACACATACAACATAGATGACGATGTATCATGACCAGGTAGACACAACATCGGTTAGCATAAAAATTCAGTCCATATAATTACCTATTAAAAGTGTGAAGAGAACAATTATGATTATTTCACTAAATGCAGAAAATAAATATGACAAAATACTACTCCCATTTATGATAAAAACTCACAGCACACTGGGAATACAGGGGTATGTTTCTATTTTGATAACAGATATCCACAGACAAATTAAAGGTAACATCATTAAATGGTGAAAAATGAATGCCATCATTCATATTCAACATTGTACTGGCTTGTATATAGTACTATAATGTAAGAAGAAAATTTTAAATGTATACAACTAGAAGAGAAAAATAAAATGGTCATTATTTACAGATGATTATTGTGTTTGCAGAAAATTCCAAAGAATCTACAAACAAGCTATTAGAAAAAGTCAATTTAGCAAGGTTATTGGCTATACGGTCAATATATAAAAATCAATTTGTTTCTGTGTACTAGTAACAAATAATTGGAAAATGAAGTTTAAAAAATACTACTTACAAGAGTACAGTGAGGACATCATGTCCTCTTATGCTTCCTTTCCATTGCACAAACTTTTCCCCTATGTGAATGTCTTTCCATCTACCTCCACACACTTGTTGAACTCCTATAATCCTTTCCAGTCTGTTCAGATTTATCACTCTTTTAAAGCATTCTTTCTTATCCTAAGTACTTTTAAAACTTTAATTTACCAGCAAATTCTTTTCTTAAAAAAACCACAAAAAGTAACACAGATATCAAACATATAGAACTAATAAAAGCGGAGCTTTCTTACTGAAACATGAGTATAGAGTGAACTCAGAGCCATGACTTCCTAAAAAGTCTCCAAAACACAGATTGAAACTCATTAACATTTTTAAGCACCCAAAGATCCAAAAATTGCTACTATAGTCAACATCTTAAAAAAGTGAAATCTTTCTCCGGCTTTACAGAAATTAAGGTCAGCAGATAGAAATTCCTTCACCTCCAAATTAAACAGAAACTTATCGGCATTTCTATCTTTCTGTAGGCTCTTTCTCTCCAGCCTAAGGTAAATTCTTCCACCTATGCTCTAATTCTTTCATAATCTCTCAGAAAATATGTTCCACACAATGATCTCTTCATTAGTTCATCTTCAACATGTGTATACATTGCCTCAATTATTGACACAGAAATGCTCCCTAAGTAATTTTCTCCCTTCTAAATGCAACCCTCTTTTCTTCCCTTCATTTAAACTTCTTGAAACATAGTGTAAAACAGCCCACTAGTTCTCATCTTCTAACCTAGAGTAATGTGGCTTCTGTTCACCCTAATTAACAGAACTTGCTCTTGCCAAGGTCTCCAACATTCTAGCTACCAATTCCAATTTATTGTTATGTGATCTGTGGCACCCGACACTACAGAGATTCAGTTCTCCTTTGGGCTCAGTGACATCACTCTTCTGGCTTTTCTCCTACCTCTAGGGCCATTCCATTTCATCTTAGTTAAATTCCTTTTCTTCCACCAACTCCTTATTTACTGACATTTTTTGTGGGGTTTATCCATGATCCCTGCTTCTCATTCTAAACTGTACACTCTGCTGGCCAAGTTCACATACTGTGGTTTTGACTACCAACTGTGTATTTTAATTATTCTGAATTCTAGTCTTCTAGGTTTGTCTGTTCAGCTGTCTTCAGCCTCCTAAATTCAGTCTCTACACCTTACTGCCAGAACAATTTCCCTTATATAAAATCTTTCATTGGTTCTAGAAATTTCAGAATCAAATTCAAGTTCTTTAGGATGGCAGTAAGACCTTCAGTTCTGCCTTCTTCTCAAGCTTCAACCTGTCATTCTCACAACAAATGTTCTACAAACATGTCATGCTGTCACCCACCTTTACCTTTGCTTATGTGGCTCCCTCCCCTTGAAGCACTCATCTCACTCTCTGGAGAATTCCCATTATTCTTCCAAAATTGGGCTCAGGCATGACTGTCCCTGCTCCTTTCGGGCTCCCTTCGTTAGGTCCATTCTTTCTTTCTGCATCCTGCACAAACCTCTACAGCATTTGTGTTCTGTAACATAGTATCATTGTATCATCTATTTCTCTGTGAAAACTACTCTAACACAGGGTAATTTACTTACTTTGTTACCTCTTCAACCCCCTCCTTTTGCCCCTCAATTCATGACTTCTTGAAGGCCTGTTCTTTTCTCCTGAACAATTTCCAGTGCCTGGGATAATACCTGGCTCAGGGGTTAAACAAACATTTACTGAGTAAACTGGCTTTTAAAAGGTTTAGAATTCTTTCCCTTCTTTTATTTTCCTTTGGAGTCTGAGATTTTTAAAAATTAGAAAACCTCAAGTGGGGAAAACATGCTTTTATTTCATGAAATTGATCCCTTTTAAAGACTTTGCCATAGGTGATATGTTCTTAGGAATTCTTCTGCAGTGAACTTAAAAAAACAGCTTTAACTTTAAAGTGATTACCTAATCAAAGTATATTTTTCCTACTTAAATTAGCACGCTGTATAGAACATAGCAAGTACAGTTATAGAATAAATATGACTTCAATACAATAAAGAAAAATAATTCTGAAAACAAAATTAGAAATTGCATAAAAAATTTGGGAAACAGGTGTAGTTCAGAAGTAACTAGAAAAATAAAGGAGGAAGAGAACAGAGAGTTTTTTTGTTTTTGTTTTGCCTCTTTTTTGATGAAAACCATGTACAAAGTTTGACAACAGTTTAGGAAAAGGCAAGTTCCAGACTGAGGTAGTTTGCAGTTTATTTTTATCTATTATTTGGTCCTTGGCTCTATAAATGCATATATTTTAAGATTTTGTTTGCTATTAAAATGTTAGTTGTAATAAATATGCTATTAGCTTATACAATTGGTTTCTAATGAGAAATCCAGCACCCCTGCACCCAGATTTTTCTGTTTATATGTTGCATAAAGTGTATAATGCTGTATAAGAGAAAAACCTTACCTTTTATCTTACAAATGGCCAAAATCAATATTTTGTGATTTATTTGTCTCAGGATATTTAAAAACGTGACTCACAGGTATGAAAGTGTCCCATGTATTTATTACACAGTCAAGATTTATCCTTAGACTTTAATAACTGTGAGGACTAAATTAAAATAGAAGTTTTATCATATTCATTACATTTACTAAATCATTCTCTAGTAAGTATACAGTTGTCCCTCAGTATGTATGGGGGACTGTTTCCAGGACCCCCCCACAGATACCAAAATCTGAGGAAGATCAAGTCCCTTATATAAAATGATGTAGAAATTACATATAACATATGCACATCCTCTCATATACTTCAAATTATCTCTAAATTACTTGTAATACCTAATACAATGCAAATGCTATGAAAGTAGTTGCTGGTGTGTGGTAAATTTAAATTTTGCTTTTTGGAACTTACTGGAATTTTTTTCTGAATATTTAAAATTTGCAGTTATTTGAATCAGTGGATGGGAACCCAGAGATAAGCAGGGCCAACTGTATTCTAATAAGCTTTGGTTTAAGGATTTCACACATGCAAATCCACTTTGAAGGAGTTCTCTTCAATGTGAATTTTATAATGGTTAGTAAGGGATGACCTCTGGCTGAAGAGTTTCCCACATGCATTACATTCATAGGGTTTCTCTCCAGTATGAATTCTTTGATGCGCAATAAGTGATGAGCTCTGCCTAAAAGTTTTCCCACATGTATTACATGCAAAGGGTTTTTCTCCTGTATGAATTCTTTGATGTTGAATAAGAGCTGCACTTTGGCCAAAGGATATCCCACATTCCAGACATCGATATGGTTTCTCTCCTGTATGAATTCTCTGGTGATTACTAAGGGATGAGTTACACCTGAATGTTTTCCCACACTCATTACATTTATAGGGTCTTTCTCCGGTATGCATTCTCTGATGTTGAATGAGAGCTGAACTTTGTCTGAAGGCTTTCCCACACACTTTACACTTACATGGTTTCTCTCCAGTATGAATTCGCTCATGAATAATGAGTGTCGAGTGGGAACTTAAGGCTTTACCACATTCATTACAATTATACAATTTCTCTCCAGTATGAATTATTCGGTGTCTGTTAAGTCGTGAAATAGAAGTGAAACCTTTTCCACATTCATTACATCTATAAGGCTTTTCTCCAGTGTGAATTCTTTCATGTTGAATAAGAGATGCACTCTGACTGAAGGCTCTCCCACATTCACTACATTTAAAAGGTTTCTCACCTGTGTGAATTCTCTGATGATAACGAAGAGATGAACTAGACTTAAAGGTGTTGCCACATTCATTACATAAATAGGACTTCTTTCTGAGATGAATTCTCTGACACCCAGAAGGGGATGTGCTACAACTGGATGCCTTCCTTCCTGGGTTGTATTTGTGGGGATTTTCTCGAGCATGGATTTTTTGATGTATAAAAAGGGTAGACCTTCTGCTGAAGGATTTACCACATTCTTTACATCTATAGGATTTTTCCACAGTATGGGTTCTTAGGTGTTTACAAAGGGATGCACTATGGCTGAAGGCTTTTCCACATTCTTTACATATATAGGGTTTCTCTCCAGTATGAGTTCTTTGATGTTGAATAAGAGCTGAACTTTGGCTGAAGGCTTTCAAACATTCTTTACATTTAAATAATTTCTCTCCAGTATGGTTTTTCTGATGTTTACGAAGGGATGAATTGTGAATGAAGGCTTTTTCACAAGTGTTACATTTATAGCGTTTTTCTGCTGTCTTGATTTTTGGTTGGTTACGTAAATTTGAATCCTGCCTGAAGCTATTTCTTTGTATTTCATATTTTGAGGGTGTTTTTTCTCTAGCAATCTTCTGTTGCTTAACAAACACTGAGTTCAGGCTGAAATTATGGCCAAAGTCATTATTTTTATGGCTTCTTTCTACAGTGAGGATCTTTGTATGGGTGACTGAAATTATTTGTAAACTTTCATTTTTGTCCTTCTGTTTCTTTATTCTATCTTCATATAAGCAGGATTTTTCTGATATCAAGTTCCAGGGTTCATTTTTTTTGAGTCTTTTCCTTACTGGCCCCCAAAATGATGAGTCTTGAGTTTGAGTTGACTTTGTGGTTTTAGGACTGCTCTTGCATCCTGAAGAAAACAAAAAAAGAAAGAAATTGCCAAGGATCCACATGATTAGCTGAGACCAAATGTGTAGAAGGACTAAATATTAATGATATCTAAATAAGGCATTGCTTTCTGGCTAAAAGAAACTAGCAAGAGGAAAAAATAGGAAACTAACAGTGTTACCATATAAAATAATAATGGATGAGAGCTGGAGTACTAGGGTGAATAAAACAAAGATGCTCATTTAAAGAAGGTGAGAGTATACACATTACCAGGAGAATGGAGAGAAGGCATCAGAGGAGGAGTATGAATTGGGAAATGCAGTCTAGTATCCAAAGCCTATGACAGACTCATACATTATCTCCATGACATCACTCTCATTTCTATAATTATTTCTAATCTTGAATGTCTTCCCTACTTTTCCTACATGTCAAACTTCTCTGTAGCCTTCAGATTCAGTTCCAGTGTTAAGCTCCTCTTCGCAGCCTTTCCTGACTCTGAGCTCCAAAAATCTATTCCCCTTATTATACCACTTAACCACAGTATATTATAATATGTACCTAAGGGAAAAAATTATGAGTATATCTAGAGATAATGAGAAAGCCTTAAAAAAATTCAGCACCACTGATAATAAAAATAAAAATATTCAAGAAAACAGGAATTGAGGGATGCTTCCTCAACAAGATAAATACATATACTTTAGTCCTAAAGCCAGTATCTTATTTAATGAAGAAACTCTAGAGACATTTCCACTATGATCAAGAACAAGGCAAGGATGCCCATTACTTTCACTTCTATTCAACATTGTACTAGATGTATCAACCAATACAAGTACACAGGCAAAATCAGTTAGAGGCATAAGGATGAGTAAAGAGGAAATAAAACTATCTCTATTTGCTGATGATATAATACTATAGCTGAAATTAAACCTCAGAGAATCAATGATAAACCTTGATCAGTGACATACCAGGATATAAAATTAACAAACTAAAATCAATAATCTTCATTTATACAAAGATTTAGAGAAATGAATTCACAAGAAATATGAAAAACTTACATGAGAAAAAATTTTAAACAGTCTTTAAAAAAAATTATTTTTAAGATTTTTTTATGGTTGTGTGTACCATTTTTAAAGTCTTTATTGAGTTTGTTACAATATTGCTTCTGTTTTATGTTTTGGTTTTTTGGCCCCAAGGCATGTGGGATCTTAGCTCCCTGACCAGGGATCAAACCCGCACCCCCTGCATTGGAAGGTGAAGTCTTAACCACTGGACTGCCAGGGAAGTCCCTAGAACAGTTTTTTTT